GGTGAGGGGTGCTGACTTAGCCGGCCAGTGCACTGCCCGAGACCAGGCGATATCGGTGAGGGGTGCTGACTTAGCCGGCCAGTGCACTGCCCGAGACCAGGCGATATCGGCTTGCTCATGCCCTCTGCAGTGCTAACACAGCAGCTATGCAATGTAGGAGAACTAACTTGGCGGCAGTTGTGGCAACTAGCCAAAATTGTTAGTGACGTGAACTGAAGACTGAGCCCCCCCACCCCGGTATAATTTGAGAGCCGATCATACAGGTGCAAGAAAAAGTATGTGGAATTATATGGATTCCTGCACAAATTGGTCATAAAATATTATCTGATCTTCCTCTGTCACAACAATAGACAAACACAGTCTGCTTAAACTAATACCCGTCAAGTAATTATATGTTTTCATGTTTTTATTGAGCACGCCATGTAAACATTCACAGTGCAGGTGTGAACCCCTAGACTAATGACATCTCCAAGAGCTAATTGGAGTCAGGAGTCAGCCAACCTGGAGTCCAATCAATGAGATGAGATTGGAGGTGTCGGTTAAAGCTGTCCTGCCTTATAAAAAGCACACACCAGTTTTTCAGTTTGCTTTTCTCAAGAAGCATTGCCTGATGTGAACAACGCCTCGCACAAAAGAGCTCTCAGAAGACCTACGATTAAGAATTGTTGACTTGCATAAAGCTGGAAAGGGCTATAAAATATCTCCAAAATGCCTTGATGTTCATCAGTCCCCGATAAGACAAATTGTCTATAAATGGAGAAAGTTCAGCACTGTCTCTACTCTCCCTAGAAGTGGCCGTCCTGTAAAGATGACTGCAAGAGAACAGCGTTGGGTGAATACCAATCTATGATACATAAAACACTAAACAAGAACGGGGTTCATGGGAGGACACCACCGAGGAAGCCACTGCTGTCCAAAAAAAACATTGCTGCACGTTTGAAATTTGCAAAACAGCACCTGGATGTTCCATAGCACTACTGGCAAAATATTCTGTGGACAGATGAAACCAAAGTTGAGTTGTTTGGAAGAACCACACAACACTGTGTGGAGAAAATGAGGCACAGCACACCAACATCAAAACCTCATCCCAACTGTGAAGTACAGTGGAGGGGGCATCATGGTTTGGGGCTGCTTTGCTGTGTCAGGGCCTGGACAGATTGCTATAATCGAAGGAAAAATGAATTCCCAAGTTTATCAAGAACTTTTGCAGGAGAACTTAAGGCCATCTGTCCACCAACTGAAGCTGAACAGAAGATGGGTGATGCAACAGGACAATGACCCAAAGCATAGAAGTAAATCAACAACAGAATGGCTTC